AGCGGAGGGAGGCGGACGAGCCCTGCGGGGATGGAGGGCGAGGGAGGGTTTTCACGGCAAGCCGGCTCGGACGCCAAAGCGGCCCCACCACCCCCGTTCTCCAAAGGCCGGACTGGGGTGTTGGTTGTCTGCTGTGGACTGACCCGTTCTTGGCCTGTTTGTGGCTCGTCTCCGAGGGCTGCTGGTGGTGGTGGAAGTGGTTCTGCTGGGAGGGCAGAGAAGGAGGAGAGGGGTCGTCCAGGTGGAGGCGTGGGGGTTTGGGCGGAGCCTGTTCGTGGGCGATGAACACAGGCATGGAGATGGTGGTCTTCAGCAGGCCGGCGGAGGAGTGCTGGTAGTGGTACCCGTTGTAGCCGTAGTTGTGCGAGTCCTGTTTCGTGGTGAAGTCGTCATCCAGGCGTCTCTCCACGCTGTGCGAGCGCGAGTGCCAGTTCTGAGTCCGGCTCAGGGACGGCAGCATGCTCATCTTACCCTGGAGGAAACCCACGTCTCCAAACATGTCACCTTCCCCCTCGGGCCCCACGTGGGCGCTGTGACGTACGTCGCCCAGCGGGGGGCTGATCATATCGCCTGAGAGGACGTCACGAAGCTTCAGCTTCTTTCCCTTCTTGGGAGTTGTAGTTTTTAAGTACATCGGTGTCTTGGCCGGCATTCTGACAGGTCGATGTGAGGTGATTCAGTCTCTGCGTGCTCGCTGGGTAGAAGCAGGCGCCTCTAAATTAAAACCAGCAGGAGAAAAGAAGCTGGGTGTAAATAAACAGAAGCTCTTTCAGCTGAGGGATTCAGTCTGTGTCGTTTCTCCAAGTGAGTTTACAAGTATTTGGGTCGGTCAGCGTAGTGATAGCAACCCCGGGGTTGTGCCTCACGCTGACATGTGACTGTAGGGGGGGGAGGAGAGGAGGAAGGCCTTGACCTCAGCTCAGCTCCCTCTGTCTTTCTCTCATACACAGAAGAGCCATATCCAAGCAAACACTGGGTGCTTTTCTCCTCCAAACACACACCCTCTTTCGTCTTTATCTCTCCTCAGACAAAGAGGATGAAGGGATGAAGAATATGTTCTCTGGCAGCCTCGCTGTCTGCTGTCTGCTGTCGGCTGTCGGTCTTCTGGGTTCTTCAGAAACTTCAGGAATCTGTGAGGAGAGAAAACAAGAGAGAGGAAAAGGAGTCAGAAGAGATGAAGAGAAAAAAGGCAAGGGGAGATGGATGGGAAGGGAGGAGGCAGGAGCTGGGGGAGAGAGGAATGAAGGCGGGAGGAGATTTACAACCTTCTTTTCAATGAGCCGGAGGACATATGATGGAAAACACTCCAGGAATCCTGAGTGTTTGCTCAGAGGGGTCTGCCTGCCCCAAAATATGTTAAAAAACGTGTGATTTGAGGTCTTGAGGCTGCTCTTACAGTGAGTCAGTCACCGAAAACCAGTCACGCATTCCTGAAGACCCCTCAGCCTAGTTAGTGGAAACACAAATCACTGGAGGGAAATTGTTGTTTTTAAAAAAGCTTCTACGTCCTCTCGTCTCCTGTGGCGGCCTGTTATCACAGAAGAATCTCTGTCCTGACGCAAACACTGTGAATTATGGGACGTCAGCGAGGTCACAGCCTGGGGGCTCTGTGGATCTTGTGATCCCATCACCACCCTGAACGTAACCCTTTGAGTTTAACTCTTTAACTCTTTTGTGCTCAGAGTTCAGAAGTTTAGTCACAAAGTGAGATTTAGTTTGAAGAACGAGACTCTTGTTTCGACATAAAGTGACATTAAAGGACGAGTGTGTGAAGGAAGTTGTAGATTACAAACATCTGAATGCAGATCAGGAGAAACTACGGAAAGACTGTATCTAGAGCCGGTGTTTGTTTTGGAAAAATAGAGGTTTTAAGATAATGAAACACGACAACTCTTATCTTTTATATTCAGTTGATTATAGACTGAAAACCAATAATATTACATCCCACTTGTGCCAATAGATGCTCCTATATGTTCAGTCACAGGAAGAATAGCTGGAGGTAGAATAATATTAATAAATAACCTTTATTTATGTAACTTTCAGAACTTGTGACTCAGAGTGTGTGAGGATGGTGTGTCGATCAAAGGGTCCTTGATGTATGCTCCCCATTGTTTCAAAATAAGAGCATAAATAATCACAGTGTGTCGATGTTCATCTTGTGACTTTCTCACTGTTTACTGAGGAGAAACATTGAGAACTGTGAGGATTGCCGTGTGACAGCGTGGATCTGTGAGTCTCTGGGAGCTCTGTTTGAGCTTAAAAGTCATTTTTTTTAGACATATTGTCTCGTGTTGAATCTTTACCTTTTGTTTTTAGTCCAGTTTAGTTTATGTGACTGTTTTTTTAAAAAGGATTTCACACAATCACAGATACAGAAGTTAAACAGACAGAAACAAACTATGTGTCTCCATCGCGTCATCCTCACATTGGCATCTGAAACTGTCCTGTGAAAGTTCACACAGGGTTCACATTTAGGTTTCTAGGCATTGGGTGAACTTCACAGAGATAAACCTGAGTGTTTCTCTGATTTAATGACTATTTTTGGAGGCTAAAGTACAAGAGTTGTTGATTAAAGTTAGTTAAAGAAGTGAGAATGGAGTCTGAGCTCAGATTGTCTTTGAATCATATCAGATGCAGTTGATAATGAATCTGCAGCTTCCTTCGCAGGGACTTCTTTGGAAACCCACATTAACTATCAGCGATGTTCCTCTGAGAGCTGAGCTGAAGCTATATTTCATTTCTGGGGCACGTTGAGTTCAACAGAATTTCATGTTGAATGTCGTAGCTGCCTCGAGGGAAACACTTTCACCACCAGCTATCAAAAACAACAGGCTGAAATAACTCCAGTTATTCATGTTGCAAAGCTTTCCTTAGAAGTTAAGACAAACTGGGAATTAGTCTCAACTTGCAAAAACAATACTGTTACATAAAAAGACCTGAAAACTGATTATAGTATATATTGTATCACAGTAGACGTTCATATTATCAAGAAGTTGATCAATTATTGTAAAGAAAAAATGAGGGAAGGGAAGTTAAATGCTGCTGTTATTAGTGTTTATAACATACAATGAGGTTACATTTAACAAAGTTTACATTTACATTTTACGTTTGATGCTTTTAAACATACTAACTTCATAGTCGGCACAAACAGAATAAGCAATGATACTGTTTAATATTACTGATGATATTATTCACACAAAAGTTCCCAGCAAAGTCTGATTTGGTGATTTTCTGGTTAAAACTGGGCTAAATTAATGTCTAGATTATATAAAACTGTTGTTCCAGCAGTATTTCATTTTCTGTATCTCAACAACTGTTAAATGCAACATAATGATTGAACCAGCAGAGATGTAAAGTTGTCAGTAAAGCTGAGTCACCGTCCCCGTGGCTGCAGGGGAGGGAGCGAATCCTGAGACATTCACTGTACGTCTGTTGTAATCGGCTCACGCTGTAAGTCTGGACCCGAACCGACTGTCAGTCAGGATTCACCTCATTGTTCCTCTCATCTCAGATTATATCAACACCACACAGCTCAGACAGTCTCTGATAAAAACACCCACTTATATACGTTTGATAGCTCCTCGGCTCTAGAGGAGGCTGTGTTGGTCGGTTCAGACTGAAATATCTCAACAGACTCTGAGGTTGTTGTTTTCATTAAAAAATGAACTATTAAATGTACGACAATAACTCTGATCTCTGACTTTTTCGTCCTGTTAGCATTTAATTTAATATATATTTGGTTTATGGCCACATTCCTGCAAAACTGACGACATTCACATCAGCCTCAGCTGTTCTTTGTGTTTAATAATTACATAAAATATATTGGATCAACAACAAAAAGAAACCACAACAACAAAGTAAAATGGATCCTCATGGATTGTTGTACGCATGAAGCACGCTGTCTGAAGAGTCCCTACAATGGACACTAGATGATTCGTATTGCAGCCACAACCTGGAAATTTAAGTGAGATCTGATTAACTGACTTATTTAAAGCTGTCGAATTGCAATCAATCGACCCAGATTGTCTGTTAATGGTCGGTGTAAACAGGGTCTAAGTGGGGTGTTAGCATTTAGCTCTGCAGCTACAGTGCCCAAGTGCTGCTCCACAGAGACTCTTTATCTTCTTCTTATTCATGTAGACAAATGGGAAAACATTCACAGCCGCAGTGAAACAGTGATTACTTTATAACAATTCAAGCTTCAGGTGTTTGACGTGGTTAAGTTTAGGTGTTTAGGTTAAGAGTAGAGATGTTCGGGTTTGGGTAAAGGGTCGATGAGGATAAGGTGAGGGTCCATACGAGGCAGATTAAAGGAAACTGATCTGAGTTACATATTTTAGGAGATTATCACAGACTGCTAGATGCTACAGTATCCGAGGACAGATTAGTCCTAAAGACATCTATCAGCTATGAATGAGAAAGAGAAATCTCCATCTGTCTGAACCAAAGATATATGAGCAGCTCAGTCTCGTTTAAACCTCTGACAATCATAAAGAATGAGACATTAACTCGTCGTCCCTCATTGTAACACACAGAAAAACAACAACTATATTTATGCAGCACAAATCCAAGCAAAGAAATGGAACGAATGAATCAAACAACTGTGTCTAATGAAGGGAGGACGTACACTGTCTGCTGCATTAAAGCCCACAAAAACAACCAGACTGTGAAATATGACAAAAGTAGGACCACAACAATGCAAATGCACATAAAAATAATACCGAACCAGTCCGAGCTGGTTCAGAAGGGTGGAGCGAGTCCCGCTGAAGTGCTGAAGAGACAGTTTCTGTTGTTTTTTCTACATATTTTGATGATGATGTGGGCGACCTGCCCTTTAGCTGTGAATTAGTTCATCCGAATTGTGTCTGTTGACGTCTGCAGGACAACAAAACGGCTCAAACTTCATCCCTCCTTGTTCCTTCTACCAAACTACATTTCAAAATTAAAGCCAGTTCGCACTCCGAATTCAGTTCATTGTGCCACAGACACTGCTGTTACAATCTCGCAATGGTTGTTTATTTCTGATGTTTCCAAGTCTCTAAAACCTGGAAAAGGGAAAATGAGGAAAAATTTAAATTGTTTAATTTGTATTAATACAGATTTTTATTATATGGCTTTTTCCAGTGAAAATGTACCTGCTCTGGATCCGGCTTATATGAATATATATGTTCTTCTAAGCTCACACAGGATGGTCAATTTGAACTACTGATGTTCACCATCTATTCACAGCTCCAATCACAACCGTCTGTACAATGAGTCCACATTTACAGCGTTTAATCTTCTGTTTTCACTCAGTAAGTTTTCCTCCTAGTTTTTCAGCTCAGTGTGAGTGACAGGGAGGTTATTTAACGTCGTTAGTGAGGAAATTTAATCAATAAAGAGTCAATCATACAGTCACAGAACAGTTCATCCAGAAATGTCACTTTAATGACACCAACAAATTCTCTTGAGTAGTAATTTTACATAGTTTTCACACACACACACACACCTATACATAGTCCTAGAAGCTTTCCAGCGTCAATGAGGCCTGAGTTAAATGATTGTTTGTCCCACAGTTGAGCTACTAAGTCCACAGGTCTAATCTCTTTCCCTCTCTCTCCCTCTCTCCCCCACTCTCTCCCTCACACACACATATTTGCACTGTAGTCTGCACAATATTCCCTTTATAAGAACTAATTGGCATTAACCCTTAGACCCAGTCTGAACACTCAGACAAAATGTCCTCACTCTTATAAATCCACCACACTGGTCCTTCCGGTTCCCACACTAACCCCGATCCCTGATGCACCACCTCTCCTGGATGGATTTGGGACGCTGCTGATGATGCAATCAGCCGCAGAGGAGGCTGATCTGACATCTGGTTCTGCTCTCAGGCCCCATTTGCTGCTTGTCTCCAACAACTGGGACAGAGAACCAGTGAACAAACCCGAGAGCCCTGTCCTCTTTCTTCTCGGACAAACACAAAGCAACACGGCTGAACGCACGACGGCAATCCTCCTTTCATTGTTGTTATCCGCCGTCTCTCCTGCGTCATGCGTAATTGCGCACAGCAGGCGACTGTTGACAAAAAGGCGTTTACTTGTCTGCTAATCCGTTTGTTTTTACCATGAAAGTAAAGCTGATTTCTGTCTGTTTTCTACAGTATTATACCTTAATGAGAACTGTTTTTTCAGAGATGTGTGTAAAATGTATTAAATTCTTTCTTTTTTAACCCAAATCACCCATAAATATCTCAGACTGGACACTATCAGTGAAACTATGAATAAGTCCATATTCGTATAAAACCCCGCTGAGGAAATATGAGTCATCTGAAGTTGTGAGTCACCTCTCACCTTGGTGTTGAAATTATGTCTTATACTAACCAGAAAACCGGTTTTTGAATCGCGTCTTTCTCTTCATAGACGCCACCAGCATATTAATCCAAACAAAAAAACCGATCCACGAAGATCCAGCAGAGATTAGAGATAAAAGATAGAGTTCAAGAATAAAGTTGCCTCCCTCTCCCTCCTGTGTGTGTTATGTAACCAGCAGCCTCTGAGATCATCTCTGCCCTCCTGAAGGCTCTGGTCGGTTGACTGATTGGCACCAGTGGAACAAATGTGTGTCTCCTCCAGTCTAATCCACACAGACAGCTCAGATCCAGCACAGCTATTTACAATCTGTCTAATACAGATGATTGGTCGGGATGAAATGCTCAATATTGACCTCTTATTGTGTAACAAACATCCTGTTTACCACGTTGATGGATGACTGAGAAGTAAAGTTTTTATGTCTTAATTTCGTGGTAGCTGTTTTAAAATACGAGGAAAGCAAAAGGTCCAAAGTGTGCAGAGCAGCTCCAGAGCACTTCCATAGTGTCAGAGATCAGCAGGACATTGGCGCCCTGCCGGCTGCTGTGACCTCCTGCCTTTGGCAACAGTGGAGAGTTTATTCCTGGAGCACTTCAGGTAGCCCAGCAGTAAATATCACCAGTCAGAGCCACTGGGTACGTTTAAAAACCTGTGATATCTCCCCACTCCCCATCACTCACTTGTCCTCCTTTTTTTTCTGGTGAACGCGCAGCAACAACCAGGACGCACCATATCTGAGTGCTTCTGTAACACATAATCTGCTTAGAAATGAGAGCACCATAACCTGGACTGGGTGAGATTGTCCATTATAGCCTAAAACTGCCTCTGGTCGGTATGAATATGATGACAGATGGGGTAAAACAAAGATACCCTCTCATATAAGCTTCTGTATGTACTTGTGTTGCCAGGCACGTTTACAGGCTGATAAACACATGTTACATAGAGCTACAGCAGTTTATATATATATATATATATGTTATATAATATTTAATTAAAATTGTTGTAATCACGTGTATTATGAGTAAAGTTTATCCTGTAGTTTTTCCACTTTTATCCACAAACTGCGCACATTGAAACCAAAGGGAGTGTCCACAGGGAGGGCTATTATACTGACAAATAACATGTTACACTGGTCGGTTTTTCCTCTTTTTGTCACTCACACAATAGAAAACAGTAGGTCTATTCAACAGGTAGAAGCAGCGGCCACCGTGAGACCACTGACCACGTTTAAACACACACAAAAAAACACAAAATAAACCATAGAAATAATCAGATTAATCGGTGATATTTACCTGTACGATGAACGGTTGCTCCGTCTCTTTATGGGAATAAAATCTGTAGTTTGAGTCGTACAATCCACCGACACAGACCTCAGCTTCAGGGGCAGGTAAACCTCTTACTGGCGGGGTATTAGCCGACTGTCTCTGGAGCGCTCTGGACGGGGAAAGTAAAGAGGGATCGGCTTCTGGCTCCAGGAGCTCAGTGGAGTCAGCAGCAATGAGCATACATAAAATCCGGTTAGGAACTTCAAATTAAAACATCCATCTGTGTTATATGTGCTACATTTGATCAAGTGGGTCAGCAGGTTTTCAGCCTTGTTGTTAAGAAGATTTTTATAGGACAGTTTAAATGTTAAGTTAAGTTATTGTTCTGTGCATTTTGTTTATGTTAATTATTAAATTTTGTCTCCTTTTCTTCAATACAATATGTGATAGCGTCTATAAAAGTGTAAATCTAATTAATTATGATACACCAGAGAAAATATGTAGATTGAATAATTATATTACACGAAAATTAAAATGGAAAATCAAACTTTAAGTAAATAATTTACAGCTTGAACTCTAATTAATTACGTTTAAAAGCAGCATACAACATACCACACATTAAATAAACAATAAAACCTCATTTCACAGGTATCTTCAATGGAAATAACAACATGTGTTATATTTCCACATATAAACGAGATGTGTGTGGTTTTATTTTTTAAAGAAACCAATCTCAGCTTCCGGTATTAGTTTGGTCGACTCTCAGCAATTTGACTCAGCAGACCCCAGGATAAATAACCAATTAAACAGGTCTTTAAATGCGTTAATTAAACCATCAGAACTGCTGATGGTTATAGGATTAGAGGGTAAATGGGGATAAGACAATGTTATTGATCAAAATCGCCATCAAAGACAAACTGCTGAGAAACAGTAGTGATGGAGTATCACCTATGATGCCTCTTTGATCATCAGATGTGAAGCCATAAAAGGTAACAGGGTGAGAAGTAATACAGATTAAACCAGATTAATTGTTTGTTAATGTGCCCAATATGACCCTTTTTTATCTGCTTTATATGTGAAACTGATCATAGTTTTCTGTCTGACTCACACAGCCAATTAGAGAACTGTCTTCCTGTTGATCTCTGTGACAGACGGTGTGGAGGTGATGAAGACTCTTCTAGCAGCAGGCACAAACCACAGTCCAACCACTGCGGACTGATGGAAGAACCAGGAGCAGATCTCTCACCAGGCCTTTTGTTTACTGTTCGTACAGACAACCAGTTGTTCAGAAATCATCTCAAGCATGCTCAGTTGACTTTTAGTCAGATGGCAGTTGAATAACAATCTGCAGCTTGCAGCTGTCCAGTGTTTGCAGTACAATAGTTATTTTAATGATTTTAAAAGCTGCACCAGTTAAGTGCACGATTGAAGAATCTTTATTAGTCTGCAGGAAACATTTCAGCCTCACAGGACCTGATGAGTTAAAACATGATGGTGATACACAGCTCGTCTGAGAGAGCTCTTCCTTTCCCTTTGGTTTTCTTTCATATAAAGCATGCTCTGCAGTTTATTGACATCGTGTTACAGAGTTTCTGAATACTGAAGAGCAAATTTTAAGATGACAAGTGCAGCTTCAAATTTCTGATGTTTGTCTAACGTCATGAACTAGCTACAGCCGCAGTATCTGGGTCAAGCAAATACAGCGTTTGGTTTGTTTTCTCCACAGAGTTATAAAGTTTCTGCATTATAAGGAATAATTAGACATTTAAATGGGCCTTCAAATTTTTACTGCCGACTCAGTGGAGACCTACTGGAGCATAAAGTTTGGAGGCGCATTGTGGTGGCCCCAGCACGGTTGGCACTGAGCATAATTGCAGCAAGGTAATGAGGATTTAACAAATGGAGACTGCAGACGTTTGCTGTTCATAGGTCAGACTGCATCTTGTTTACAGCTCCTGTGGGATGCCTGCAAGGCAAATTAAACACACTCTCTCTTCACTCATCCACTGGTGTGTGCTTTGTGCTCGTCTGCAAAGAAAGATGGGCGTCTTTTCCACTGACGCAGCATTGGATAATCAGGCCGTGAAACGACCTCCAAACAAACATGAGATGTTACTTTCTGGCACATCTTCGTCTACTTCCAGCAGCACTTAAGAACAACTTTATTGTGAGACAGACACATTCCAGCCTGTGGCCTTCATCGGGGGTCATCAGATAATGAAGTTGTCGCTGGAGTTTTGACCCAGTCGGGGTGTTTGGGTTCCTTCAGCGAACATGAAAGTTTAGCCTCAAAGTTTCAAGTGGAATTTTCTTAAAATAAAACAAACATGAAGAGAACACACACTCTTTATCTCACTCACTCTTAGTATCACACTCTTTATCTCACTCACTCTTAGTATCACACT